TGGGTCCTCTGTCCATCATTTCACTGCATTGGTTCTAACGGCTGCCCAGAACCACTCCTGTGCAGAGGGATGAACAGTATTTTCTTTTGACTGGCTTGTTTCTGTGGAGACTGATTTCAGTTTTCAGACGGGACCACCCATCTGAAGCAGTCTGGCTTTTCTGGGCGGAACAGGGGGCAGAAGCAGGACTCCTGAGAGAGGCTCAGCCGGACCTTTGTGTTACTAAGCGCGCTGTCAGAGCAGATGAGAGCAGATTAGGTGACCTACCTGCAGTTTTAAACAAGCTACAGTGAACATTTCAAGAAATATGCATTTTTATTTGCATTGTGTCTAAACTGCATTTGTTTTTTTTACCTTTACAAACTATACGACTAGCTGAGAGAAGTCATTTAACCTGCACAATAAATCACCTGAGTAGAACCCGTCTGGTGTTTGAGTGGCTGCAGCTGAAACCAAAGTCCTGTTTGGTACAAAAGCAGACTAATGCTGATTAATGCCTTATAGCTCTGTGAAGCGTGCACAAAAGCTTAAATCATACCGCGTGTGTCTTTTCAGGGATGCTTCATTTGACATACATGCTTCCCTCCATACCACCTTCATACATGTGCTTTCCTTTCACATGGACACATTTTCTTTCTAACACCGGAGCACAAACAGCATTGAATTAGAAATGTTGTTTTAAGGGGTTTTTTGGCTGTCAACAGGAAGCCTCCTTTGTGTGGAAACACTTGCGTACGAATGCATGAGGATAGGACCAACAGAATAAGATCAAAATCTTCTTTCAGGGTGAATCAGGACCGGAAAACACTGCTTCAGATCTTCAGGGTGAGGTCCATGAATGAGTCATGAGGTCACACAGTTATTGTTGGGACTCCGGCAGGGGACAGAGGACAGCTGGACAGTTCCTACGACCAGTCCAGCTTCTCTGGCTGCTGCCAGGCCTTAGAATTCATCTTAGAATTACAAACCAACATACTGAGCCCAGTTTTGTTTGGAGGAAGGCTGTGTGCAGTCTGAGCTGTGGGCTCTGAGCCAGCATGTGGCGTGTGATTGGCTGAGCTTAACTGAAGCCATGTGGCTCTGCTTAAGAGCATGCCGACATATGGTCCCCCCCCAGCACCCCTGCAGGGATCACGGCTCCCCCAGGAGGTCCCGGTGTGCGGTTTTTTACTGACTCACCTGGCTGTGTCTGCCTGCCTCTGAGCTCCAGAGAAACGGCCTCCTTCTCCCTCCTCAGATCCTGTTTCTCATTCTGACTCAGAGTTATTGG